GCAGGACGGCAGCCCGGCGCCTGTCCGTCCGTCCGTCCGTCCGTTTGAAGGGCTGGGGATAGACACCAAAGGCCTCCGGCCTGGCCTGCGGGGCCCAGAGGAGCCAAGCCCCGCAGACCCGAGGGTTCAGAGGCCCCCGGACACCTGGAGCAAGGGAGCTTGCGGGTGGACTCCCCAACACCTCCCTGAACCCCAGAACCTCGACTAGTCGCCCCTGGCCCTTCGCACCCCCTGGCAGAGCATCCCTCAGCCCCGCCCCAGTCCTGCCCTCCTGCCCCGACACACCCTGGGCACAGGAAGGGCAGGAGAGTTGGGGCGGAGAAGAGGCTGAGGCCCTGGGCGCTGCTGGGAGGAGGACAAGGAGCTGGGCGCAGGGTGTTGCTCACCTGCATACTGCGGGCTCCTGGGAGGCTGGAGGGGAAAGGCCGGCCCCTTGCAAAATGTAGCAAATGTCTGGGTGTTGCAAAGTCTGTGCGCAGGCACAGGCCGTAGGAATCCAGTGACTCCTCCCCACCCATTCTGATGAGGACGCCGATCGCAGGAGGGCAGCTTGCCTGGGGCTGCCAGACCTGGGAAGTGGAGGTCCCACAGCCCTCACCCTCCTCCTCAGAGGGCAGAAGGGCTCCCAGGGCAGGGACCCCGGCACCCCTAGGGTAGGGGAGTGTAGAGCCCAAGGCAGGGCCCAGGCCCCCTGCCCGCCACACCTTCCCCAGGCCCAGGGAACCTCTCAGATCCCCCCAGTCCTGGCTGCCCAGCCCAGAGAGTGCCCTGGCTGGCGGTGAGGTGATTGGTGCCAGAAATTCCCCCTGGGTCTCTGCCGGGTCAGCCTCGGCCAGCCCTGTCCCCACGGCGCACATTTCCGGTCCTGGCGTGTGACGCTGCGGGTATGAGGACGGGTGCCGAGGAAACAGCAGGGCGTGGGTGTGTGCGGTGTGAGCGCACAGAGTGCACACGTGTGCGTGTAGCCTTGTGTGTCGAGTGACTGCGTCAGAGGCCTCAGCAACTCCTCCCTGCTCCAGGGCTCCTGCCGGGCAGCTGCCGGAGGGCACCAGGCCTGCTTCTCATCACCCCCTCAGGGAATCTGCCAGGAGGCACCCGCAGGCTGGCTCAGGCCCCAGGCAGCACAACCGCGGAGAGGAGCCCAGCCTCACCCAGGGCTCCCTCATCACCCGGCCCGCTGTGGAGGCCCAGGACCTGCAATAACCTCAACATGGTGAGGCTGCCCCCTCTGCTTGGCAGGGCACCATTCACCACCATGCGCCCCACCTGCCAGGTCTCTTCTGGCCATTTGAGGGGGCTCTGTAATGGGCCAGGCTGACCAGAGGAGCCCCGACCACCCTCTGGCCTGGAGCCCCCCTCCATTCACCCCTTATTCCCACCGCACAAAAGGGCTATAGGTCCCCCTGCCCTGCCTGGGTCCAGTTTACAAACAGGTTGCCCCAGGGCCTGGCCCCCACCCCTCGGTGTGCGCCCTCAAGACCCACCTCGCCAGCAGGCAGCGGGGCCTCCCCACGCCAGGTAAGTAGCAAACCCCTTCTTTCACCGAGGGCCAAGGCCCGTCACTGCCCCGGACCCCGGACCCCGGACCCCGGAGCCCACCGGCACCTCTCCTTTTGCCTTAGGCCTTTCGACATCCTGTCTCCTGCAATAACAAGGAAGCGAGATTCCAAGTAGATGTCCCTCGCGTGCGTCCTCTCCCTCTCTCTGTTGAGATCCTCGTCTTAGTAGCTAGGGTGTTAGCGCTGGGAAGGGACGGTAGTTGTGCAGCCCAGCATCGTCCGGGCACAGCTGGGGCAGGGACGCTGACTCAGCAGGGCTGGGACCAGGCTGCTCCGCTGTGGCCGCTGCTGCCCCGGCTGCGCTGCGGGTTGGTTGGGACCCTTTGCCCCTTAGGAGAGGTGTTGGTCACAGATGTTTACCTCAGTTTATGTCACTGTCGAAGAAACAAAAAATAAATAGCAAAAAGTAACACCGTAGACATGAAGACTTAGAAAACAAAACAAAAAAAACTTTAAAGAAATCCTCCCCTTGCTATTCCTCTGTGAGGTGTGTGTGTGTGCGCGCGCGCCACGTCTCTGTCCCACCCTGGGCAGGCCCCCTGTCCTTTGGTGCTTCCCAGAGGCCCCTCTGAGCTGGCCTGTAGGGTGTGGGGAGCCCCCTGGGCAGGAGGCAGGGCCACAAGTTAGCTAGCGGGTCTGCCAGGCCCCTGAGCAGAGCCTCAAGGCCACCGATGCTCCCTGAGCCCCTCGCTGTGGCCGATGGGACAGTTGTGGTGGCATCGTAGCCAGGCTCAGGGCCTGGGTGGGACCCCCCAACCCCACATATATTAACCCCCCCCCATGTGTTTGTAAATACTCTGGCATCCTTTGGCCCTGAGGAGGTTTTTAAATGTGTTATTCTCTATCATGACAATTGCTATAAAATAAAAAATTCAGAAAAATTACCACTGGGTGGCTGTCTTGTCTCAGATACAGGGCAGTGGGGTCCACAGAATTACTCTGGAAACGGAAAACTTGACAAGTGTCTGCAGTCGGGCAGCTACTCCAGGCCTCCTGCGACCTCAGACCTAGAGGAGGCCCAGGCAGGGTCTGAGGGTGAAGCGAGCAAGGACCCTGGGTCTGGGGGAGGCTGGGGAGTGGCCCCTGCCTGGGGGGGCTCCTCACCCTGCGCCCTCCAGAGCTCTCCAGGCTCAGCAGCCAGCGTGAGTCTGGCCACAGATTAGACGGTCACTCTGTTGGAAACCCTCCAGTGCTCCAAGGCCCCAGCCTCACCCCGACTCCTCTCACCTGTGCTGCCTCCCACCACATTGCTCTCGCTCAGGGCCTGGACCCTTGTCTTGGACTCTCCCCGACCTTCTCCCGAAACCCCTCCCTCCAGGTCCCGCTCACAGGTGAACTCCTGGGTGCCCCCCAGGGTACAGGCGCTGCGTTACACTGAGCACTCAATGCCCTAAGTCTGTCTCCGCTCCTCCCCACCAGATGGACGTGCCGTAGGAACAGTCAGTGCTGCCCTGGCTGTGTGGCTCCGTTGTTTGGGCGCCATCCCGGGCACTGAGAGGTTGCAGGTTCGATTCCCCGGTCAGGGCACATGCCCGGGTTTCAGGCTCCATCCCCAGTGGTGGTGGTGGGGCGGGGGGTGCAGGGGCAGCTGGTCCATGTTTCACTCTCTGGCATTGATATTTCTCCCTCTCCCTCTCCCTCTCTCTCTAAAAAGAAATAAAAACATTTTATAAAAAGGACAGTCAGTATTTGGCAAATTGTTACTCCCTCCCTGGCACGTGACAGCCCCCGCCCCCCCAACAATTTGTCAAATGAGTGAGTGAATGCCCAGTGCTATTAGGGGCCCAGAGTACAGCAAGAAACAAGACAAGTGGTCTGTCCCCTGCAACTTATTTTCTAAAGAGGAAAATAGACGTTAAATAGGTTACACAG